GTTTCGAGAAAGCACCAGGAAGATTCTCTTATCTCCAACGACTCTGTTTTTATTTTTAGTCTCCTAAGCTACGCGGTGTCGCAAATCATGACCACATAACCCGCATCTTCCTTTTTTACCCTTTCTTTTTCCCACGTAATTACCACAATACCACACTCCTTCTCTGCCACTTCCTTACCCACCAAGTCACAAGGTTATTTTCGTCATTTTCTCACACGTCTTCAGTCCACACAACTCCATATCTATAAATACAACAACCCAAAACAAACAAACACCAAACACACATCACAAACACAACAACGATCAAACCAAAACCAAAAACTTTTGTTTCATTTTTTTATCACCAAGAAAATGGTTGCGAGTTCAGAGATCGAATCGAAGGCGGCGAATTTTTTGATGCTTTTGTCTAGAGTCGGACAAGAAAATAACGTTGACGGTGGAGATCAAAAACGCGTTTTCACATGCAAGACGTGTTTGAAAGAGTTTCATTCGTTTCAAGCGTTAGGAGGTCACCGTGCGAGTCACAAGAAACCTAACTACAACAACGAGAACTCCTCTACGGGATTGATCAAGAAGGTGAAAACGACGTCGCATCCTTGTCCGATCTGCGGGGTTGAGTTTCCGATGGGACAAGCATTGGGAGGACACATGAGGAGACACAGGAACGAGAGTGGTGGCGGTGGCGCGTTGGTTACACGCGCGTTGTTGCCGGAGCCGACGTTGACGACGTTGAAGAAATCGAGCAGTGGGAAGAGAGTGGCTTGTTTGGATCTGAGTTTAGGGATGGTGGACAATTTGAATCTTAAGTTGGAGCTTGGAAGAACAGTTTATTGATTTTTTTTTTTCTTTTTTTGACTTTTTTTCTGGATATATTTTGTTTCTTCTTCATTCTTTGAATTTTTCTTAATAATTTAGATTGTACTATACATGATACATCTGCGGATATAGGAAACTTTCATAGGCTGTAATGTTTTCTTTCGATGGATATACATATTTTACTTAGCATTTCGAGATTTGTTATTTTGGTAAAACATCACATACTATTCAATTTTATTTTTTCCACCAATTGTTAAATGTTGTGCTACTATTTCGTATGCACAATAAAAGCACCTCGAATAGATAGTTACTTGATTTTGGGGGATTTTTCTTATATACATGCATGATGATGAGTATGCTTGAGAGTATGAGGAAAATTATTTCCAAGTCATACTTTCACGCGACAATTATAAATGGATCGCAAAATGGACTTTGACGTCGATGAAAATTAAGAATGGTTTTTCTAGAGGATTTCTGTAGTTCTGATTTTTAGATATTATAAGTGGTTAAATATTATGGCCTTACGATTTAAAATTTAATTAACAATAACTGGATGGATTCATATCA